CGCCGGCGCCCGGGGGAGCCACGCCGGCGCCGGTGGCGACGCCCGGGCACCGAGGATCGGGAGAGAACGGAGTTCCAAAGAGAGTGGGTGGGTTTTTTCGTGGAGATGTCAAGTTCCTTGATTTTTTCCCTCTTCCCGGCAACTTACCAAGTGGTATGTTCATTCAAGTGAGTCGGGTTCAAAGGAGGGCGTTGCAGCCAAGACTCAAGAGTTGTCGCATGCAATCATTGCGAGATGTAGAGCCTGCAGAGCTATCTCACATGGTTCAATCAGTGAAGTTTTGCTTGTTGGTGATGCTAGATTCTTTGCAGGCCTTTGGTTGCGTTCTGTCAAATCTAGGAGACTCGCTGCAACGCAGTCCACTGGCCCAAATTGGCCTCCAAACTCGAGTGTGGAGCCCATCTCGACGGGTTGGTGCAGGAGTCCAGTCTGAGAACAGAAAAGAACCATTTCATCTGTGAGTCGTCCATAGAGTCGTTCATCCGAAACGTCCAGCTCGAAAGTTTGGGGCTGAACCTTCAGAATCGTTGAGCTCGACTTTTGAGCTTCACTTTTGAGCTCAGGATGTTCGGTTGATCCTTTTCATTTCCCATTTCGACTCTGGATGGAGAAAATGATGCGCTCTGACTCACCTCCACATTGAAAGGGGCAGCATTGGGTGGCCTTGAACATCAAGTGCACCAGAATTCCAACTCTGATCTGTTTTTCCTTGCCAAGGAAGGCTGTTTTCAGCTTGAAATTGGCATGGTTTGGTTCTTGAACACACTGGCCGGTTGCACCTGCAAGTCACACCGTCGACAGGTTCCAAACCCTGGAGGCTCTAGTAGGTGCTCAACAGTCCCCAGCTGAGTACAAGAAGCTATTGATGAGCATGTTCCATTCCTCACCCGGTGTTGCAGGTGAATTTATCCAAAAGCATCTCCATCTCAGGCTGCCATCGGCTGCCGCCCAAGCCGAGCGTGCCCAGCAGGTGTTGGCACAAGCGGCGCAGGCAAGGTGTCTTTGAATGCAACGGCTCTTATAACCAGTTTTGGTAGGTGTATTGGTCACAGGGTTTTGCTGAGGCCAAGACTATTTTACTTGGTGTTTGAATGTGTTTGATAGATTGTTGTATTTGGAGTTTGGTAGATGACAGTTCTTAGCCAGCATTCTTTGCTTTAAGGATTGATTGACTTGGGGGGGGACCGGGGTGGCCGGGAGGCACCAGCAGTTTGCCTTGTGAGAAGTATCGTCGCCATGTTCCGTGTCGAAGCAAAGCTTGGATGAGCCCACGCAGTCGGATGTGCGTGTTTACAAATTCACCAGAGGCGAACTGGGGACGCTATGATCAATCTCTCCTCCCCAGGAAATGCAGGTTTGAAGAGGAGCAGATTCACGACAGAGCAAGCATTATTGAGATCTTTGAAAGTGTCAGTCTTCGATTTGTGCCAAAGGGAACACTCCAGAACGACTGCCTCTAGTAGCTTTCTTGTTACTAGTAGCTTCTTGCTTCTAGTAGCGATGCCAGGAACCCCTAGCTTGCTCCCTCCATGGTTTCAACGTGGTTTCACGGCGATGCAGGTGGTGCAGCAGTGTCGTCAGTCGCTGACGGCCTCGCGGCCGACGCTGTTCGGGGCGCCGTGTGGAGGCCTAAAGCCTGGAACGGATGCCTGGGACGAAGGGGGGAAGGACAAGAGGACTAAAGAGGGGTTTTATGTGGAGATGGTGGAGATGGGTGTTCTTGTTTGTGGCTTGCAAACTGGCAGAAGGATATCACCCACACGAAACCACTGAGGCCACAGCCAGCACAGCCAGCACAGCCGGGCGCTGCAAACGCCTGCTACGCTACACCTTTTGTGGCAATGCCACAGCTGCTCGCTTGCAAGGTAGTTGGTTTGGCATGGTTGCACAGGGAGTGTTGCCTCATCTACAGGCGCTGGTTGAGGTTTCAGGTGAGTTTGTCTCAGACGACTGCGGGTAGAAAGGTCCCCTCATTTTGAGTCAGCCACCCTTAAGAAGAGGATTGGAAGGTGTGAAATGCAAAGCTACCTTCAAAATTGAATTACTACGCATGTCCATGAAATGCTCAAAACATGCGTGGGAATGGTTGATTCACCGACAGAGGGGAATAGCTTGGCCCATATCTATGGCAGCACAAGCTCGTGGCATCGGCCGGTGACCGCATCATGTGAGTCTTCACGCCCGTGGGGTAAGCAAAAACCACCAAAACGTACCCGGAAGTCTCTAGCCGTTTTGTCCATTTCTCCTTCTTTTCTTCGGTGGCTCAAAGACCAACACCTTCCGTGGCTTTTGTAGCTTGCGACCCCTTCCCAAGCTTCTACTTGGAACAGGGCTGAGTGACATGACTGCCGGCCACAGGTGAACTCGAGGGTCATAGAGGGTCAGAGATCTTTTTGTTCTGTGTTGGGGTCATTGTGCATAGATTCTTTTGTGTTCTCCCCGGTGGTGTTCTCCCTGTGTTCTCCGTCGGGTGGTTTTTTGTGCACGACATCGGTTCATTCAGGTCGATGCCTGGTAGCCCACCCTGGCACCCGCGGTGGGGGAGCACAAATCTTGAGAGGGAAACTGGTTGAGATGGAGAAAGCATGAGGTGAAGAACAAAAAAGTGGTCTTTTCCGAGATGTTCTTTTTGGTCTGTTGATGTCTGTTGATGTTTGTTGTCTGGAAATGTTCACCTGATATTTGTTGTTGGTGTGGAGTGTCGGACCATTCGACCCGACAATTGTTGTGCTACATTGGTGGGGGAGGAGTTCTCATGGAGTTCAGAGAGACACCTTGTGCTGCATGGGATCCTTCAACACTGCTGCAGGTGGTGAACAGTCGAGTCTACCAGAAATACATGGGCGAAGGAGGGTTCTTAGAATCATTTGTTGCGTACTTGCCCAATTGGGAGCAGCAGCGACCAATGTCGTCCAGAATATTTGGAAGCTAGCTGGAGGTCCATCAGATCCCTTGTGTTCAATCCTTTTTCCCACTTCTCGGTTGGTACGAAGGCCTCTACTTGCATCGTTGTGGTCCCCTGATGAAGGCCGGGCTCAATGGCAAGTGTGCTTTCCCCCTTACCACTGGGGTTCCTGGTCATCAGAGAAAGCAGGATTGGAAATTCAAGAGATCCAAGCACATCGCCAAAATCGGAGATACTGATCACTTTCAATTCATTGCTGAGTCAAAAAAACCCACAGACCAGTCATCTTCAGTTCATTAACGCCTATAAAGGGCGTGAACACTGCACCCTACCCGCTCTGAGGCCAGCGGCTTCCACTGAAGTCTCGGTGCCCTCGCCGTCGGCGCTACCGGTTGGGGCCGTGCCGACTGGGCTGGGAGCCTTAGAGGACCGGTCCCGAGTCAAAATGACCTACGGCGTGTTTGCTGGGTGTTTGAACGCTAAGCTAAGCTGGCTTTTTTGGGCAACGAATGTTCAACTTGGCTCAAAAAGTACGGTAAGAATTGGACGGAAACTGCTCGTCAGAGGTGGTGTCTTCCTTTATCATAAAGGAACTGAAGATGTGTAGGGCTTCAGAGTGAATCAAGGCAACATGGTGATGTTCCTTGTGGAAGGCGCTTTGAAGGAAGACCAAGTACGGAGAGCAAATGTTAAAACACAGCGTCCAAGCTCTACTTACGCAATCATTACTGCATCGCCAGCCCAGCAAGGAAGGAAGGAAGGAAGGAAGGAAAGGTGGTTGATAACCTTGCCGGAGGGCTTTAGGGGGTTTTCTGAGCTATGTGCTACGTTCTTGCAAGCACAGTGCGGCAAGTGATGGAGAAGACAATGCCTTTCCTCACAGTCATCTTCCGTCTGCGGAATACCAAACTGCTTGGATTGCAACTGCTCTCAGGATCACACAAACGGCAATTCTACCCTGTCCGGAAAAGTTGTTGAGGGGAACAAGCTATCACGAAGGAGTGTGAAAAATCTACTTGCCACGAATGGTATGAAACGGTTTCTTTCACTTTGTCAATAAAGTCATCCTCAAGCAATACCAGAAAGAAATCTGTCGAACCGTCACAATTGTGCGTCACAATGTCTTCAGAAGCCTGTGTATTCCAAGGGAGCCCTTGCTTCTAGGTTGGAGGCCGCTTCTACGTTGGCCATTCCAAGGGGTTCCTTCTGTCCAGCCGATCCCTGTTTCAGGTCGGTGGCTTCAGAAGCACCGACCGCACTGCGCGCACCAACCGCGCCGATGGCGCCACCGGGACCTGTGGCGCAGCTGTTCCCCCAGAGGCCGCGTTCCGGACGGAGAGCGCGTGAAAGAGACCATGTGGATGGATGAAAGACCATGGGGTGTTTTTGGAACACCCAATTGAATGGGAAGAGTGATTGTGGTCAGCTCTTGTTGCAATCCTCGAAGACCATGTTGATAGCTTGTGATGTCAGCTTCGTGGGTTGAAGGCTGAGGTTGAACAACATAGATCCGAGAATAAGCCGCCAAAACCCCAGATTCTGATCCTGTTCTTTGCTTTTTCAGAGCGAGTCGTCGCACTGAGGCCAGGAGCTTCCACTGAAGTGGCAGCGCCCTCGCTGTCGGTTTCTGGGGCTGCGCCCGTTGGGCTGGGAGCCTCAGAAATGGACGTGAAAACCCGACCAAACAGGTTTCTCGGTGCTCACGCGTGGCTTTTGGAGCATTGCCCCAGAGGGCATACCCTGCCAAACCTGGATCTGTCTCCCAGAGGTCAGGCAGATGCAGGCAGTCAGATCTCAGCCCTCCTGAGGTCAGCGGCTTCAGCGGAAGCACGAGCACCCCTGGCGCCGACGGCAGCGCCGATGGCAGCGCCCCTGGCAGCGCCACTGGCAGCGCCACGGGCACAGATGACCGTCTCTGCTTCGCAGCTTTTGCCCGGCTCTCCACAGCGCCTTGCCCTGTCAGTGCAAAGTGATGGAAGTATTGTGAATCACCTTGAGGTCGGGGTGTCCCCACGAAGTCACTAGTCACTATGTCATCTTGGGGATCCAAGGCAACAGTCCCTCTTGACAAGACTTGCAGTGGTCAGCATTGGATTTACTGCCATTGGGCCCCCCCCTTCATCTCCCAGACGGTGCACAACCAGGGTGACACCCAGTCACCCTTTCGATAGATCCCCCGTTTTCAGTTTTGGACTTCATGTGTATGAGGCAAAAAGAGTCAAGTAAGGGTCCTGAGCTCATGGTAAACATACCCAAGCCGCACCCCGTCAACGAGATATGACGACACTTAACACGAGCTCCGTCTCCTTTTTTGCCGAATCATGTTCTTTTGGATGAACGAAAAGGATGTCAGATGTCGGAAAGAACAAAAAGCCTTTAAGCGTTGTTGCACCCATCATCATCGCCCACCAACCGCGGAAACACTTGTCAACCTGATGAACAACGGTCCGTCTCATGACCAAACTGTGCATGAGTTTTGTGTGGGTTTAGCTGCGGTGAGTTTCGAGCAGAACAGCTTTGCCGAAGAAAAATGATCAATTTCATTCACTTCAGTTTCAGCTTGCCTCAGTCCCTTCCTTCACCAGCTAAGCTCTTCGCGAGATCTGTGAATTAGACTTTCTTCTGTTCGAAGGAACAGCAAAACCCGCTGCTAGTAACAAAGGGCATCGCTACGAACGGAGCAAGAAGCTACTACTAGGGGCGATGGCACTGGCCACGAAGCCGAGCCGCCGCTTCCCCACGCCGCCCAGGCCGCCCTCCACCATCACCGGTGCCATGCTTCGGTCCGCCTCGCACCCTCCGCCGCTCGGTGTCGGTCATGCCGCTTGGTGACTTCCCACCAAAAACAACTGGCTGTGGTGTCTTGAACTTCGGCTTCTTCGGTAAGAACTTCGAACGAAATGGGAGTTTCAACGAAGTTCGGGAAAGCCACCAGGCTCACCCAAACCACATGCGGCGTGTGGACGCATGCGCTGGTGTGGACGCAAGGAAGAAGCTCTCAGAGCACATGACGATGTTCGATCCACGAAGAAATCTCTCAGAGCACAAAGACAAGGTGCCTTTTTGCATGATTTGAAGGGAAAGCACTAAGCTAACAAGTGATGATCCTTGAAGCATCACTGAGCCACGACGCATCACCTACCATGTGCAGTGGGGTCGGGAAAGGTTTGCCATGGGGTGCGCAATAATCCAACCTGGTGAATATGTTGTATTTTTCCCGGTTCCTGCACAGCAAATCCAAGAACGTGTCAGAAAAGAGTTGCAGCAATGATCATAGTGTCGTCCGGGCAGCTATGGCTGGTCCTTGCCGATCTTGCAGTTTTACGTCTGTGTTGGGCAAAGCGGGCGCATTTAGCTGATCTGATAGATGAAGCGCATTATTGGTGGACTGGTCTGATGTTGCGTGCTGCGGTGACAGCCGTCCGTGGCGTGTCCTTGAAACCTATAAACCCGCTATCTGAGGTGCAATTCCCCAGATAGCTGCAGGCTGTAGGGCCTTTAACTTCTCAGGATGTGGCTCTGGATCGGCGTTTTGGCTTTGCGGCCTGCAGCGGCACCAGAACCCAGGCCCGAAAGCGCACACATGCAGCTCTTCTTATGCTTCAACAAAACCCCAATAGCTCACACTATCTGGGGAAAAACTATGTAGCCCCAAGTCACCTGCAGGATTCAGCTCTTGAGCCCTTCGATGAACGTCCCTCGCCGGGGTGGTTGCCAAAGGAACTCAGCCGTGCTTAATTTTGACATGCGTGAACGATCCCAAGCCATCAAAAGGAAATACCCATAAGAGTGGTAAGCAGCCAAGAAGGTGGTTCCCCTCACCCCATGGGTTCTTGCTGCAGTTTCGCGGCACCTGACCAATCCGAGGATGTCCGGCCCGCTGCTGGCCTCACCGCGGGGCGATCCCAGGAGATAGCGAAGGAGATTCAGGGAGAAGCAACCTGTGAATCACAGTTGGTTGCTTCGGAGTATGGTTTAGAACTGAAGGTTGTTTGTTTCTATTGGAGTTGTTGCCTTGACAGTTTCAGGCATCGAAAGGAGTGGGAACGGTGTGGTTTCTACACAGTTTTTTTCCACAAAGGTACCCTGGTTGCATGACATGCAAGTGAGTGAACTGACTTGGTGTGTATCAATTCCTGGTTAGGTCAGGTCCCAGTCATTCTTGAGTGACGACTGGCCGTGATCCTTCCCATCAGGGCAGGAACTCAACCACAAATGGGCAATGGTTCTTTGGTTTCGGAAGGAACCAGTTGTGCCAAGTATCTCAAACATGGGTGGGCGCTTCTCAGCGCGGGAAGGGTCCCAAAAAGAGAACAAGTCATGGGATGGTGTCAATTTTCATGGCACCAAATTCGAGTAGAAGACCCGCTGATCCAAGAGAGACCCAAAAATCTTGCACCACTCTACGTCCGGGGCAAAAGCGCTCAGGGTGTTGAAACGACGGTCGACACCAAGGCCTCCCAGCCACACTGAGCCGCAAGGTGCCACTGGTGAGAAAGCACGGGTGGTAGCGCAAGGGCCTTCGGAGAAAGACTCGGGTGTTTTGCCACGAAGAAGACTCAGGTGCTTGCCGCAACCAGCTGCTTCTGGTGGCAGGTCATTCCATTTGGGGTTTGGGCATCATACGTCATCGCTTTGCGGCAATCAACCATCCAAGATATCCAGGATAGGATCTCTATGAGGATTTGGGGCTCGCGAGTGAAATCAAGGTCTTGTTTCTTCGGATCCTCCTAGAGGATACATCAGCGCACAGGCAGCGCCGTATGCTCTCAAAGGCGCTTTGGAGATCTCCTTTTTCATCAGTTAAGCAATTTGTAAGCCACTTCGTCTATCAACCGCGCGTTGACGTGTTGCGTTGTCTATGCCAACACGTCATCCTTTCATGGCTCCCAAACACAAACGAGATCAACCAGCACAGAAGTGTGCAACGCGGGCACAAAGCTAAGCACAGGTAGCCAACACATATAGTGATACAATGAAAAGTTAAGTCCAAGCAGAAGACCGCCGAATCACTACCGCACGTGTTTGCGGCATGCGTCTGGGTTCATCTCCTTTCTAAGGCGATTTGGGGGTACTTTAATAGATTGAGCTGGCGTGCAGCAGGATCCTTGTCATCTCGAACAGACTTAAGAGTTAGTGGCATCGATTGATCAGTCTCATTCAAAACTGTGCAAAACATTGTGCAACAAAATAGACTTTGAGCCGCCAAACCTTCGCGGTTTAGTTGGAAACAGTCACAACTATGCAGGCGTTGTAAAGAGTATGGTGACCCCCGATTGAACTCCAAGAAACCCTTTCAATCGCCGGTTCAGCCGCCGTTGTTCAGGCCTGAAGAGCTGGAAGACATCATTCCTTTCAGACTGTGTTGTGACTTAAGTTGTAAAATTCACAGAATTTGGCGGGCAAAGCTTGGTTTTTGCTAGTTGCATGTGCTATGTATGGTTCTTGTTTGGAGGATAGACCACGTCGGTTCCCGACCATTGGGGGGGCCGGGGCCTTCGTCCAAGTGGCCGAAAGCACTCTATTCAGGTCGCGAATCACCCGAGGGCGAGAACGACCTCTTCTTGTGGCAGGAAGCGAGAGCCACGAGTTTTGGGTTGGACCACGAGTTGTTGACCCCGGTGACTTGATGGGCGGGCTCACAGGTTACTACGCCAAAATCCCGAAATTGGGTGCATGGTCAGCGGTCGTGTTGGAGAATTCTCCAGTGTTTGAAGCACAGGGGTCAACGATAGCCTTTGGCAAGACTCTAAATTCTAAATATAAGATGGTTCGCATCATGATGTTCCCGTTTGTTTCAGGTACTCCAGAAAAAGCAACCAGGAACAGGATGTCCAGAGATGACAACCGGTGAAAGGTTTATATCATTCGTGCCTTAAACCGTCTGGTTCTCTCATTGGCGGCGTTCAGGAGGATTTGCCCGGTCCAGTACGAATTCCTCGAGGTTGGTCGGAAGGGTCAGAAGGGCAGGTTTGTTTGGCCAAGTTCTTAAAATGGTTTATCGAGTATGTTCTGGGAGGCCAGGCCCTTGCTTTTATAAGGTGTAAATTTCATGCTCTTATGGTTGAGATATTTTCCTGAAGATTGACAGAGAGACTCCAGAGGAATGGATTCGGGCTGGTTCAGAAGGTGGAGAAGTGGAGAAGATCGTTTTATGCAAGAATTTCTCAAGGGGTTATTGGGGTATCCAGGAGAACTGGCAGAAGATGGGCAAGGGGTTTTCTCAAGACGCGAGGCATCAAGGGATTGCGGATGACGGAGTTTCGCGCAAGCTCAATCCTTCTCGAACACACCAGAGAGGCAGCTCCAAGTTGAATCGACTTTGTTGCGAATTCTCCTTTCTCGATGCTTGGAGCCTTACTAGTAGTAACAAGTGCCTTACTAGTAGTAACAAGAAGCCATAATTAAGTTTTTGAATCCTAATTAAACTGAATTCTAATAGCTTCTTGTTACTACTAGTAAGCTTCTTTCTCGATGCTTGGAGCTAGACTGTTTGGACCGGACAGCCGCCAAGTTTCCTCCCACGGTACCTCTTTCTCCAGCCAGGACGGTACACGGATTGGGCATAGGTCCGCCATACGGAAAGGTCATCAGTCAGGCGAGGAGCGCCACACGACGCCCGCCCAGGCCCGTCGCCCACGCCCTCATGGGTGCGGGGCCCGGTGAGTCGAGAGGCCGGTGCCAGATCCACGTGTGGGAGGAGAGGTCCATGGACAGCGACGAAGAAAGAGGTGTGTTCCAACACTCCATGGGACTGGTGCCGATCAATGGACCCCCAGTCAACCACCCCAATGTGTGTCAAGATGCCAGTCCCATTTGCGTCGTAACACCATGGACGCTTGTGCGTTTTTTTTTGTGAACGCAAGACGGCTGGGGAGAGTGTTCACCTCACAATCCCGTTTGGACTGAGAGAAATTGTAAGACATCCAGGAAAGTGGTCGTTTTTGGTGCTGGGATTCATCCCCATTCAGAGGTTATAAACTATAAACCTTCAAAAACAAAAGCACTTCCAATCTGCGCTCATTGTCTGATTGCTTGGAAAATACAATCGCCCTCCACATCCCAAATGTATTGTGGAATCCTGTGCATGCAGGGAAATGCTCAGCAAGCCCAACCAAAAGACAAACAGACAAAGAAGTGGACGACCTTAGGTCGGCGAGTTATTCACCCGAGGAAATGACAAGATGGAACCCACGAACCCGAATGCAAACACGATCGAAAAACTACAAAAGTCCAAATGACACTCTTGTAGGACACTCTTGTGAGACACTCTTCTGGGAGTAGGACACTCTTGTAGGACACTCTTGTGGGTCACTCTTGTAGGAAACTCTTATAGGACACTCTTATAGGACACTCTTGTGGGACACTCTTGTAGGACACTCTTGTGGGACACTCTTGTGGGACACTCTTGTGAGACACTCTTGAGCGACACTGTTGCGGGACACTCTTGTGGGACACTCTTGTGGGGCTTCCAGCTCCACAGATTGCTCCGCGTACTAAAGTTGCACTACAAAGTCGCCAGTGCTCGCCTGCATTTCGCGCGCTCGACGCGCACGATCTCCGCAGAGGGCTGCGCGGGCACCGGACAAATCGCACTCTCGCCTGCATTTCGCGCACTCGACGCGCACGATCTCCGCAGAGGGTGGTGCGGGCACCGGATAAATCGCACTCTCGCCTGCATTTCGCGCACTCGACACGAGCAGAGGTGTAGTCTGAGCTCAGTCCTGTCTGAGTTCTGCGCAAAAGACATGGTGTTTTTCATTTTTGGGGTTTCCAGTTTGAGGCTTTGCTCTAAGCGTAGAGGTTTCTTTAGTTTTTCATTTTGTCATATTGTCAGGAGAATCAGGCATGGACAGTTGCAAAAAATCATCCATCATCTGAATGAACTGGATGGAATGCTCAAGGACATGGTGGAAAAGGGGAGCCTCACCGAGGAACAGGGACGAAGCGTGCAGCACACGCTCCTAGACAAGATGAACAGTCTTAGGAGACAGCAAGTGCTTTTGGAGTTGTTTTGGTTCGAGATTGAAGGTCCTGCGTTTCTCAACTGCAGCCAGCATATATTTCAAGGTTTGTCTTCTTTCAAAGCAAACCAGAAGCATTGGTGCGGGTGGGACCCGTACTCTCCAGCGGCCAAGGGCAGTCCATGACGGACGCGACCGAAGCTTCGTCGAGAGTGGCTGCTGCTGCGTGCCCCGTCCCGAACCAAAAAAACATAGGTCATTGGTGCATGCAACTAGCTTTCGCGTACGTCTCCACCATCTGTTCCGTCTCTTCTTCGTTTGTCATGACTCTCTACATATTTCCGCCTTGTTCCGGAGACTGGAAGCTTTCAAGACCCTGCCTGAGGTCGGGGTTGGAGCGCAACAAAAGAGTGAGGCTTTGAAAGGGCAACATTTTTTCATCGATGCATGGGATGTGTATGGGCTCTTTGAATTTCACCCAGTCCCGGAATCCAGACTATCTTTGAGAATGAGCTTTGTAAACTCTGGGTTGCAATCAGTGCTCAAAAAAGAGGCTGAGTCGAGTGCAACTTCTGTCATGAGCCCGAGTGTTCGGTTGAAGCAATGGTTTCGTCTCTGGCTGGACTTCGTCGAGACACTCTTGTAGGACACTCTTGTAAGACACTCTTGTGGGACACTCTTCTGGGACACTCTTGTAGGACACTCTTGTAGGACACTCTTGTGGGTCACTCTTGTAGGAAACTCTTGTGGGACACTCTTGTAGGACACTCTTGTGGGACACTCTTATAGGACACTCTTGTGGAACACTCTTGTGGGACACTCTTGTAGGACACTGACACTCTTATACGACACTCTTGTGGGACACTCTTGTGGGTCACTTGCAGGACACTCTTGTGGGACACTCTTGTAGGAAACTCTTGTGGGACACTCTTGTAGGACACTCTTGTGGGACACTCTTGTGGGGCACTCTTGTAGGACACTCTTGTGGGATACTCTTGTCGGACACTCTTAAGGGACACTCTTGTGAGACACTCTTGGGCGACACTGTTGTGGGACACTCTTGTGGGACACTCTTGTGGGACTTCCAGCTCCACAGATTGCTCCGCGTACTAAAGTTGCACTACAAAGTCGCCAATGCTCGCCTGCATTTCGCGCGCTCGACACGCACGATCTCCGCAGAGGGTTGCGCGGGCACCGGACAAATCGCACTCTCGCCTGCATTTCGCGCGCTCGACACGCACGATCTCCGCAGAGGGTGGTGTGGGCGCCGGATAAATCGCACTCTCGCCTGCATTTCGCGCACTCGGCACGCACGATCTCCGCAGAGGGTTGCGCGTCAAGTCTCCAAAACGAGCGTTTCGTACGAGACTTCCTCAAAACTCACACGTCAAAGTCTGCAAAACGAGCGTTTCGTAGGAGACTGCTTCCAAAAGTCCAGCGGAAACACCCATCGGAGCACACACATCACGCAGCCCTGCCAAGCAGTTTCGCGATTCCAGCCCCTCCAAACAACATCTGCGCACACGCCAATCCCAATGTGACAGCAACATTCACCTCTACCACAACTCACAACCTCACGATTCCCTGCGCCTGCCACGAATCTTTCCGCGTCCACACGTCTTACGCGCACAAAGTACTGCGCCTGCCACGAAATGTCACCTCCGTCACACCTCGCAACCGCACGATTCCCTGCGCCTGCCACGAGAATCGCTGCGCCTGGCACGAAAAGTGACAATATCATCTCATGTGAGCTTCAACAAAATTTGCGCCACACCACGCGTTTGGAATGATTTCAACCCGTTCTGAGCACACTCCCATCCACCAAAATCGCCATTTCAGCTGAGACGTGTCACGAAAACCGAGCTTCGATGCCACACCCTGAAACGCAAATCCCAATGGCACGGCCACATCCAACACCCCAAAAGCACGATTCTCCAAACGCTAGTCCCAATGGAACTGCGCAGCAATCTGCGGATCTCACAAAACGCTGCGCCTGTGCAGCAAAATGCATCACGTTTCTTGCGCGACATGTCATTGTCATGCAAATCACAATGGGATAGCGGCGCAAACTGACACGTGACACATCCATGAAAAGTCACTTGCAAAAGCTTCCCCCAATGGCAGCGAATTTGAGACGCGACGACGACGACGACGACAAACGACGACAGACGACGACAGACGACGAGATGACGCAAGCCATGCAAACATAGCTCCAACCCCCAGACCCCCAACTATAAACGGGAACCCTTCGCTACGCACTCGGGAAAAAACAGAGTAGGAACAAGAGGACGCTACTAGTAGCAAGGGCATCGCCACTAGGAACAAGAACGCTACTAGGGGCACTAGGAGCAATGTTTGCTAGTAGAAACAATACATAAATAGAAACAATAAGCTACTAGGAACAAGTGCATCGCTACTAGTAACAAGTGCCTTACTACTAGGAACAAGAAGCTAGTAGAAACAATAGTAAAAGTAATTAAAAGTAATTAGAACCTAATTAAAGTTAGTAGCAAAGAAGCTACACCCCGAGGCCGAAGTGCAAAACAGAGACAGTAGCGTCCTTGCTCCTAGTAGTAAGGCCAGGAGCCTGTGGTGAGGGCTCTTTGTTTGCTTTTTCATAGGCATAGACGAGAGCTTTGGAAGAGCACCTAAAACCAGAACTTGAGTACTGACCCCTTGAAGACCACTGGCAGCCGCAAAACCCGGTCTCCCAACTCGGTCATGAAGTGGCCAGACACTAAGTAGAACTAGCGATGGCCTCCACCTAACAGCGATGGTCTCCAACCCAACCCGCGCAGGCTAAAGTCGTTGGTTTGCTTGCAGCTCATCGTCCAGTGTTTTTCTCCGACTCGGTTCCGAGGCAGCGCCCCCCCCGTTCGGCGGCAAGCTCGAGGCTGGCGTGCGTCGGTGGAGGTGTTTCTCGTTTATCCAACAACACTCCGGTTTGAGGTAGCGACTTGAAGGAGGCCATCGCTACCAGGTTGACTATAGTCAATTGGTCTTTGATGTTTGTCATGTTTGTCTTGGTGTCGGAAAGCCTGAAACCTCCGCGGTATCCGCCATTTTGGGGGGCAGGGGAGGCTTTGTCTTCACTCTTTGCGCTACCAAACCAGCGGTCTTCAGGGGTTCCATGCGGTCCACTGAGAGATGCAACAACTTGTTTCGTGGGGTCGATTCTTGGGACTAGGAGGCAAGTTTCAGGTCAACCACAATAGTCCAAGACCTGAAACGGTGGTGTATTGCGAAATGAAAGGCGTGGTTGGTCCAAGACCTGATTCTTGGATAGGTAAATCATGCCTTTCATTTCGCTATCCACCATTAGATCTCTCCCGTGAACGTTCAAACGGCCAGGGCCAGCCTCCAAACGCTGAACACGGTGGACCGGAGCCAAAGGCGGAACGATGCCGGTCCTTTTCGGTGATCCGAGGTGTCAAGGAATGAACGAACGCGGAAGTGGGGTGGTTTGACCGGAGCTGATTCACCACACGAAAAGTGGAAATTCTTCGCAAAGTGAAGAGAACGACGTAGAGTATAAGGGGGCTGATTCACCAGAATTGGAAGACTCTGTAGAATAGATTGAAAAAAGTCCTGGGTGGGGTGAACAGTATTAAGTGGCAGCCGAAAGAAGATGCCACATAACCCAAGCGGGGTGCGTGGCTGGGTGGAACCCACAGACGCTCCGACTTGCGAAGAATCCTGCTGAGTTGTTTTGACAACATTCCCCTTTAGATCCAAGCGAGGAGTAAAGATGAGAAGAATCAAGTGCCGAATCTACAAGTGAGGCTCGGGTTCCAAGCAACTTCCTACCCTGTCAGTTGACAACCTGGAAAAAGTTGACCACCGGTAACCTTGATTTTCCAGGGATGTCTGGTTTGGGGACTTCAGTGAATCCTTTGTGGGAAGAGGTTGGTTCCGGCCCATGGCGTTGGCGACAACACCAGGCTGCCGCCTTACCGAAGCACAGGCCCAGTCGTGTTCGTATCCGCTCGTGTTTGCGTCGAGTGGAACCACGTTGACGTGCGACTTCCAAAACTTCAAGGGTCCTTTGACAGAAAGCAGATGTGTTGTGGAGGTGTCTATGAGTTTTTGCTGGAGACAGAGCCCAAGACCAGTCGCCAGAGAATTTGCACTTTGCACATGAAATCAACTAGTAACGATGGCCTCCAACCTAATAGCTTAAATAGCTTTCTCTTTTGCCGAGAGACATCGCCGAATGAAACCACAGCTCCGCCAGCTTTGACCACCTTGAGCGAGCCTGTGGCCGTCCAACCGGACGCCCAACCGGCTGGCGCCTGCGCCTGGGCGGAAGAGGGGTGGTGTGGAGCATGTCAGGCTGCAAGCTTTTCGATGCCAGGATGGTCCCTCAAAGTATTTCTACATGTTTCTACTATCCACCCTCATGGATTTAGTGGCCGTAGCCATGTGTTGATTCAGAGCCCTGCCCATTGGCAGAAGATCTGGACATAGCAAATTGCCTGTGAAAAGTTCGTGATGGGAGTGAGTGTCTGGTTGGTCCATGGAGAATGCTGTTGGGACAGGCGCTGTTGTGTTTGCAAAGTTGAAGCGGTTGGCTAAGTGACACTTCAGGTCTTGTTGGACCTAACCCAGAGATCCAGAGAATGAAGTGCATCTTCACATTTATCACTTGCCATGAAACACTTCTACAGTCACCAATAGGTAGTCTCCAAAACACACGCGTTACTTCCTTGTCTTCGAAAGCTGGTTCACTCTCATTCTGATTTCGGACGCCGTGTTCTTTTTCGGAAGAAGCACGACCACCCCACTGAGGCGCCGAGCCCACGACCGCGCCAGGGCACTGAGAGCGCGGTTGAAGGGTCGCAGGGGTGTCGTAGAAGCCACTGCATTGGCTTGGTGGAGCAGTTGACCGAGTTCCAGTTGGAACATGTCAAGAGGTGCACGGTTCTTCATGTGCAATCGGTTGTGTTTTTGTTGGACTTTTGTTGATCATGGGACACACTTCACATTCACGCGGCTATACAAAAAAAGTAAGTCGGGTCAGAAGAATCGATATTTCACCGTGACTCGGGAGCTATGGCTGATTGCACTGCAGGTACGCGAGGTTTACGCCTTTGATAGGATGCAGGAGTTCCTTACATGGCCCAGGGCATCGCTACGCAGGCAGTGCCTAAGACACAAGAAGACAAGGCGGTCTCAAGAAGGTTGAAACATGGGTTGAGCTCCCATCGTGACAGATGGCCCAAAGAATGGGTCTTCGCGGTTTGCCAGCCGCCACATGTGGGTGAGGCCCGCATTCACGGTTGGAATGATGCGCGTAAGTGGCGTGTAGTGCTTCGTAGGTTAATGGGTGAATGAAGGAGACCTTCACCCAAGAGACCAACTGTTCTCGCTGCCGTCGCCCACCGAACCCCGCCTGTGCCGTTCACCCACCATCCGTTGCCAACGGCCAACGGCCAACCATCCGGTGCACTGTACGTCCTCCAAGGCTCTTGCGCTATTCATGGTCAAAGCGCATTCAAGAGGTGCAGAGCATGCTTTGTGACATTAAGACATCCGATTATCTGCACCAGTTGTTACTTCCCAAGCCACCAAGTTGTTGAGGCAGTCTACTGTAAACCGTTTTTTTCAGCGTCCAGGAATGACAGAATTTAGAAATGCTTTGGCTTCCCAACAGTAGCCCATTCAGAAGCGTTGAAGCTGGCTGGCTCAGGATTGCGACAAGACTTTTGGTTTGGCAGTTGAGTCTGTAAAGCAAATCCAAGACGCCAACAGTGTTGGCCTTCGGTTCGAGAAACTTGCCGGACAAGCATGCCCCAGCTCAAAGTTCTTGTCAGATGCGGCCAACTTTTGGTCGTTTCAAGATTACCGCCGTGTCAGAGTCTGCTGGCACAGCCGGCGTTTTCGATATGATGGAATCCATTGGTTGGAAAATCGAACGAGTGATATTCCTTGGAGAACGTCATGCCATAGTTTCAGCCAAGGATTGCCCTGCAAAGAACAAGTACAAGCTTGCGAGGTAGGATGGTCTCGCAGTCCCCATGTGGATCCACGCAGTCAACAGCAAAGCTTGCGAACCTTTCAAAGATAAGAATGTTCAGTTTCGCAGTGCCGACCCAGAAGGAGAACGATTTCACTCGAGAAATTGAAACAAGCTGGTGTGGAATCCTTTGCGATAGGTCTGCCTGAAACCGACTCTGCTTCTCAATGTGGTACCAGAGCTTCGCCGTTTGTATACATGTCTTCCTCCTTATGCGACCGAGTGGGTTGGATGCGCGTGGTAAGTGGCTGACAGGCGTATCCACCTGCTGTGGCCGGATTCGGTTGTTTCTCTTGTGAAGGAGGGCAAGCATCAGCTCGAGTGGTCCCTCGGCAGCTGAGATCTCTTTAGCAGCCCTTTTTGTACACGTCCTCCGGGGTTGTGCTGGGATCGGATTGGGGGGGACACCCGGCCCCCTCTATGCATGCAGCTGTCATTGGACTCAAGCTTCCTGAAATGGAAACAAGAGCAGCTGTGACACCATTCTGCCATGGTACACCTGCAAGCTTGCCTGAGGTCTTCGAACATGGGCATGTCCAACGTCAAGGTGGGATTGAGTTTCATGTTGAAGGGCTTGGAAGACTTGAAGCAAGACTGGTATTTCATAATGAAATGTTGTTTGGGCTGGAGCCCAATCCTCGCACGAGCTGAATTTGTCGATCCAAAATCGTACGTTCTTGAGCCCTTCCGTTCCCAAATCAACTTGACACAGACATGGGCCTGTTTTGTGGGGAGTGAGAACGCCACAGTAGCACACTGAGATAAGGATGCCTCAATAAAGAAGATCGATCATGTTTTTTTTTGGTGAACTGGCCAGGGGGGAGAATATGATGCACAGCTTTGAAGCGTTTCATTCGACCTTCCGGCTTTCGCTGAAAAGGGGCCGCTTCGGCCCGATGGGCAGATGCCGGCGCCGGTCAGAAAGCCCATCCGCGATTGGAGTGAGGAGACTGGGAACGATGGATGTTAGAGAGATTGGCCAGTTCATGCAGCTTCAGTTATCAGAAGGCCTAGAAGTCCTGGACCGGAAAACATGTTTCAAACCAGTGCATACCTCGATCATCCCTTCAGGGGATGGTCACTGGCGTTGTTAGGTCTTGCTTGACATGGAGAGGACATACAAAGGAAGTAGTGACCTGGTCGCAACACAGCAGAGTAAGACGTTTGAGAGAAGACTGTCTTGGAAATCTGAGGGATGAGCCGAAATCGGAGGGCTGACGCCAGGAAGATGTCTCGGTCTTCCTGATGAATCTCTCCACTGTCCCCATGGACATCATTGATGTGGTGCCGGACTCGGAGGGCAGAAATCCCAACCGCACGGAGCGAGACATCCGAATCCACAAAGCGGGTGACCGAAGATCAGCTAAGCAGCGTCGATGTTCTCAAAAAGTTGAAGTAAAGATAAAAAGGATGCAATTGGTTCAATTCAAGTGGTGACTAAGCAATTCGTCTCGGATCTGATTCCTGACCCAGCAGACCCCAGACCCGGCACTCAAAGGATGCATCGATAGAGACAACCCTTTTACTGAAGGAGGAAACAAAATCGCAACCAAAATAAGATGCTTCTTGTGAGGCCCTCTTAGTTTGTAAGTTCTGCTTCAAATCCTTGTTGATAGTAAGGCTCTGATTTTCTCCGCCTTGTAGTGCATCAATTCCCCCACAAGCCCAGCGTAGATGCCACCACGGCAGGTATAGGGACTGTCAGAAGAACTCTTGTGGAATTGACGCCAAAATAAATGCCAACTTGAAGAACCTGAAACGTTCTTCCGCTGGAAGTAATCTTCAATCAATCGAAGATCTTCAAGTGTAATGAGGGTAGTGATTCATGATCATTCAAATGATCTTCATTCAATGATCTTCATGGTACTTGAATCAACGTCTCCACCGTGATCTTCCAAGCTTTCCCGTGTGAGGTGCATGCTCATGCCATCACGGGAGCTGTGCTGCTCTCACTCACCGATGAGGACCCAAGATGTTCCGCCATCGACGAAGCTCAGGTGGTTGCGGTAGTTCTTGCAAAGGAGGTGCCTTAACTAGCGGAAGATCCACTATGTGCTTCACCGTAAACTTCCAGTGATCCCCTTTCCAATTGAGAGAAGGATCAGAACCATCCTCCCTCCCGAGCACATAATGTAGCTGTGTTTTTGCTGTAGGTGATGTTGGTGACGGAAAAAAGGACCGGAAGCAGATCTCTTGGTGAAGGGCTTCACACGTGGTTTCTCCGGTTGAAAATTTCCAGCTGCCGACATCGAGGACTTGGAAGGGCTCAACATCGAGAAGTTTGGACACCGGCGGTGGGGCTGCTGAAATCACTGTTCTCCCGTGCGCACCGGTGAGGCTCAATGCGGGTTTCTTCACAGCGGGTATCGGTCCCTCACAGCAGTGTTTAAAGATGTCTTATAGTCCAGTTGAGGAAACACTGTTGTCCCATACTCAATGATTCTTCAGTAGTCTTCAGATCCGCCTGTTTGACTCAGTTCCTAGATGCTTAGATGGGCCGAGGCTTTTGCTCTTGGCGGCCCAAGAGCTTCGCCGCACGGTGCAGGCGCGGGGAGGTCTTCTGCAGGTGTTTCGTATTGCTACTTTGTATAGCGTTACGTGGATGGAGACTGGTGTTGAGGAACAAATGTTGTGTTGAGTTCAGTCCACAAATCTGCCAGGGCAAATCCTGATGGAAATCAGTACAGACGGGCCATCCGAGAGTCCCAGTGGGAGGTCGAACTTGGTTTCTGAGCAATTCATATGTTTGTATGTCTCAGAAAAATACAAGAAAAGTAAATCACAGGGTCCTTTAAAATTCCTGCCAGATTATCAATGGCCCTCCAGCAAAACGGAATTCACTTAAAGATCACCGCCCTGCAGGCAGAGCGATCTGCAGGCCGGGGCGAAGTTCGTCCCTGGAGGGAGTGACCTTTCAAAGCAACCTCACACTTTCACAGTTAAGGATCAATGATTTTGGGCGTTCCAAGGCAGTTTCGTTGTTTGTTTTGGAGCCGAAAGTTACTCTTCTGGAGAAGCATGCATCGTCGGGGCAATTGGTGACATGAGTTTGGTATCAGGCAAGGATTGTGGATGGGTCATCAGGGAGAGAACGTACTTCACCTGACAATGTTAGTGCAAACCCTCATGGAAGCACAATCGTCCCAGTTCTTTTCGCTGCCGGCCGCGTGCTTCCTGCGAAATACCCCTTGCTTCAAACCAATGAATGTGTTCCGTTTCTTTAAGTGGTGTTTGGAGTCTAGAAGGATTGGCACAAGTGCTATTTGGATCTTTGGATGATCCATGAAGCTTTTGGCACTTGCAGTCTTCATGTGCCAAGAATTCTGAAAATGAGAAGAGGGCATCGATGGTGGTCTAGCGCTTCGCCGCCTGTTGTGAGGCGATCCTGGCATGATCTCGCCCAGCAGTTCTTTGGGGTCTGGAACTCGGTTGCGTGACTCCGACTTGCTCATGTTGTTTCGATTCAAACGGAGGAGTGGCAAGCGTTCGCTGGACATGTTGGCACCTTCATTTCGTTTGCACCGTTGTTTTTTCTGAATATGTCCAGCCACCGTCATTTAGATCTCAAAAGTGTACCACTGACTAGCCTGCTCGAACACCAAGTTCCAATCCCACCAAGTTCTGAGGGTACTCCTTCTTCAAATTTCAAAAGGTACTCAGAACTGGGCAATTCCCCATTTTCAACATTAGCTCAACTTGAACGAAAACACGACACTGAGAGATCATCCAAAACACCGTGTCCTTTTCGCAGAAATCCCGCAATGCAAAGCGTCAATCCTCAGGTCGGGAATTGTCCACAACCACAGGAAAATGCTTTGGAAGGCTATATGTAGAGACAGGACAAAAACTAGCGTGCATAGGCATTCAATCGAACATCACAGACTCCTCGTTGTTTGCTTCAAACACTAAGGAGCTGAGAGGAATGCGTATGATGATCCCTTTGTAACACAGGTGTTGAGGGAGTGGGATACCAGGGTGTGGAATATCAGGTCCAAAAGCCTCGATGTTGACATTGCGTGGTGTACAGTCTTCTTTGCGCCTCTAAAGCGTCGCTCTCATCCCTCAGGAGCGCCCAGGTCTCACAACCCAGCTCCTTGGACCGGTCAAAATCGAATCAGTTCGACGGGGAAACGGCTGGTGGCCCACACCCAGGCTCTCCTTTTGCGACACGCCAGGCATACTAGCCAGGTGAGGGGCAACTTCTGTCATTTGGGGAGAAAGGGTCAACTTGAGAAGTCAAGGGGGTCATGTACTTGTCATGTTTGGGTTGCTGCACTGGTTCATCGATGGAGTTCCTTGCAATGTTGATGGAAGATGGAGCAGTTTATACGTTCATCTGTAAATAGCAAAGAGCTGTGCAGACTCCCTCAACATCCCCTTCCAGTCACTGAAATCGGCTTCAGACAGCTTGGCTTGTGCCACCGTTGGGTTCATGTCTTGTGCTGCTTCGTTTGAGTGCAGCAACGCTACATACAGGTGATGTTTGCCATGGGAAATGATGAGAAACAGCCCAAACAGACGATCATACAATCTGATGATTGAATTCTGGTGCTCAGTTTTTCCAAAGCTTTTTGTTTTTTTCAAAGACTCGCGACCGACATGGTCTTACAATTGTGGAAGCACCTCAAGAGTGCGTAAACCAGATCAAAAAACAAGAAACTTAAAGGCGAGAGATGAGAGAACCTGGGAGCAAAGGACGCTACTACGGGCTCCTGGCCTTACTACCAGTAACAAGAAGCTACTAGGGGCTCCTGGCCTTACTGCTAGGAGCAAGGACGCTACTAGCAACAAAGGGCATCGCTAGGACGAGAGGTGAGACTTTGTGGGACTCGTTCGGTCTCAGGAATGCGGCTGGTGACTCCTTCAAGCGCCCAAGTGCGGCTGGTGGGCACGCAGAGCGTCCCGGCCGGGGCGCACGGTGACTGAAGTGTTCCCTGCCAGAACAAACTCCAAAACATGTTTGTTCTTTGTTCTATTTGACCTTGACACGAAAGCAACTTTGGCAGGTGAACAGGGTTTTCCGGAAAAAGAGCATCTTAACTTGGATTTTGACTAAATGTCCACCATACGAACTTGAGAGTGTCCTCATAGTTGCTCTTTTTGTGTCCTTAGAGGTGTAGGATACCCTATGAGCCCGATCTATGATTATATTTTACTTATGGAGAAATCCCATGATTCGCATTACTTTTGCAACGCTGTGACAAACTAATTCCGGAAACAAGTCCACGCAGGTGGCACCTGGCATGCCGCGAAGCGTTCCCAGGCAAGGGATGGCGGTGCTGTTCTGGCATGTCAAGCGGTCAATAAGATGTTCTTAGACTGGAGCAACCCTAAGAAAGTAAGCAGATGATAGATGTTTGTTGCTTTTTTGCTTTAAGCAGGATGAAGGCCAGACAGGATGCATGAAACCGTGTTGACAGAGAACATGAGCGCGCATGATGGGCTTGGAAGATCGTTTCGCGTTTGGCAAGGCATTGAAGGACGCGAGTGCGAGTTTCAAATGAGATTGCCATTGATCCCTTGGAAAATGACCTGCCCCCGCGCTGGTCAGAAAGGAATGTCAATTCACATGGTACTGTTAGTGGAGTTCAGTGAAATGCTGGGAAGAGGTCTCACTCTTGCAGCTAAATTTGCCTGCAGGTGATACAATCTTTGGTTTGGGTCTCTTCCCTGAGTTTTTGAAGATGAAAAGCGTCTTCTGCAAAAGGTGAAGAAAGGCAACCAGATTACAGGTATGTTTTAAAGGACTTGTCTCACTATACCAAAGGTTTGCACAATTTCCAAAGTCAAAAATTGCAAACGTGTGCTGGTAAATCATAAACCTCTTTTGGTCCCAGGTCTTGGATACCTCAAGCAGCTGGAGCCCACGGAGGACAGCAATCAAGCAGCGGAGAAAAAGATGCGGGTTCTCAAAGTCCATGGCAAGAGCGAAGACCTCCAACCTA